TTTCAGCTGATTGATTTGATTCTTCAGACTGCTATTCTTGATTTGTTATATGCCCTATAATTTTATTTGTAAGATAGGAATGTCTTATATTAAAACGGAGACTGAAGAAAAGCATATTATATGCTTGAAAATAAATGTGGCTTTCATCTGGTGACCTTCAGTGTGAGAGCATTAGCACATTCAGTCAAAAGTTGGGCCAGAGGCTGCATAGCTGAGTCAGCAGTTAAGACTGCATGCTGCCTCTACAGAGGATCTGAGTTCAGTTCCAAGCAGCCCATGTCACATAGCTTACAACTGCTTTTAGCGATATACACATATGCATAAATAAAATAAAAATTTCTTTTAAAAAGGCAGGCTAGCTTTTTATTCGGCTTCCCACTTGACTTTGAATCATCCTTTCTGTTCCTTTCAACATCCTTGTTTACATTATCTCTACCTTGAGCACACTACTGACCCTTTAAGTTATTTCTCATGCTGGTTGTTGGAGTTAGGAGGAAGTGGGATACCATTTGATGTTTTAACTAAGTTTTAACCCAGTCTTTGGAGGTGTTTGTGGCTGTGGTTCCAATTCTTGAATTTGTTCCCACTCCTCCTCGAGATGTAACGCTGGGTTTGCCAGGTGTCCTTGATTCTCTCCAATCACAAAGCATTCTGCCTTTCCATATGTTCTACAAATAGACTATAGTTGTAGGTTTCCAGCTCTGGCTTACTAAATGAGTTTTGCTGTGTTTCTCTTACACAACAAGACAATGTGAGTGTGTGTGTGTGTGGTGTGTGAGTGTGCGTGTGTGTGTGTGCATGCGCATGCTTGCTCTCACATAGTACTCTGGAGTGGCTCTTTTCAAAATGTTCATAGTCTTTCTTTGGAAAATCTGGTCATTCTCTTGAGAGAAAAAAACAGCACAGGGAAGGTAAAAGGTAACTTTGGCCTCAAAAGAACTTCAAACTTTCATGACACCTCACAACTAATATTTGACAAGTTAGCGGTAAATTCACTCTGCATTTACTTACTGGATAATATCATGTGTGATTGTATTTTTTCCAGGTAAGCTGTGCTTAGAGGCATATTTTTATACTCAGTTTCTGTCTTTATAATTTAGATTAGTTGTTTTCCCTGAAAACATATCTCTGATAGACTCAATAAAATTTGTTAACATGCAGTTACTATAGACAAGTGAATGGGTTGCTCCAGTTGGCCAGAAATAGATTACATCATCCACGAATCCACTTCGTCATCATTATTCTAATGGCTGCTGTATATATACGGAGGAATCATGAAAGGATTGGCCTCAGCCACATTGTAATTTTTGTAAAATCTTGGGTTTTCTAGAAACCATTAATAAAGAGATTGTAACTCTTGGTTTTGGATTTCAAAAAGAAAATGAGTATTTTAGTGTAGAACAGTTTTCAGATTTGCAGAAAAATTGTGCAGATAGCATAGAATTCATCAGCTCCTCAGACCCAGATTCTTCACTTCTCTAAATTGCTGTAGCACGTCTGAAAACTAAATGAGCTAATATTGATTCAGCAATATAACATAAACACTGTAAGGACCAGGTTTCCCTCACTTTCTTTCAGTCTCCTTTTTACCAGTGACAGATATCATTCTGCATTTAGTCATTGAATCTTCTTAGGCTTTGATTGCTAAAAATGTTTGTCTGGGTTTCTTTGATTTTAGTAAACTTGATAGCTTGAAAAGTACTGGGAAGCTTTTATGATGATTACACTTCTGACAAACTGGAGCATGCTGGGAGATTCTTCATATCCTCATATCCTCACTCCTGCTATTCTTCGTTAAGCTAGCACAAATTTGCCTCAGTTATGAGTGTCTCTGCTGACCTCCAGCCTTCAATACCTTCTGTTCTTTGGGCAGCATCTCAACTTCTGCATCTCTCAGGATGCCCTCAATCATTCAGATTCTGGCATGGTGACTTGCCCTATAATCTCATTTCCCTTTTGAAACCACCAATCTGCTGATGTTCAATTTGTGTATCACATACCTACTCCTTAATTTTAAAACAAGTGTAAAAGTCCCTGGTTCTTTAGACTTTGGAGTAAAAACCATAATCTATGCTACTTTTATACGATATCATTTCATGCTCATGACCCTTCATCCAGTTAGGAATCAACACAGGACTGTCATGTCTCATAGAAATGCAGTCCTAAACATAAATACCCGAAACTTAAACATGCAAGTAAATGATTGTATCTAAAGGGAAAACTATCTGACTAATATTTAAACATCCAAATTTATTTTAAAAGATGCTTCAATAATAGCTACTTAGAAATCCAAGTAATTATCCTGAAGTGTTTTTTCTAGAGCTTAATCTAAATATCATTATATTAGCTGATTAACTTTTTATATAATTTGGTATACTTAAATTTTTCTATGTTTTACTTATTCTAATAACTATTACTTTAAGGATAAACTTATCTTTGAGCCTGAAGTAAAGCCAGGTTTTAGTGAACTTATCACATTCTTTTGTTTAAGGTATGCAATGCTTTCATGTTATTTTAGGTAACCATAAAGAGAGGATGCTGAGCTTTGGCGCATCTGGTTTTATTCCCCACTTTCTCTTCTATCAGCTTTAATGTATCTGGTTTTAAGTTGAGGTCTTTGATACACTTGGACTTCAGTTTTTCGCAGGGTGATAGATATGAATCTATTTGCATTCTTGTACATAGAGATACAAGTTAGATCAGCAAGATTTGTTGATTATATAGTTTCCGTTTTGGCTTCATTTTCAAAAATAGGTTACAGATCTAAACAGAATCAGTAATGGCTGAGAAGCACTTGAAATGTTCAACATCCTTAATCACCAAGGAAATCCAGATCAAAATGGCTCTGAGATTCCATCTTACACCCCTCAGAATGGATAAGATAAAAAAACTCAAGTGACAGCACATGCTGATGAGGATATGGAGCAAGAGGAACTCTGTTCCATTGCTGGTGGGAATGAAAACTTGTATAACCACTTTGGAAGTAAATTTGGTGGTTTCTCAGAAAACTGGAAATAGATCTACATCAAGACTCAGCTATACCACTACTGGACTTATAACCAAAGGATACCACATCCTACCACAAGGGCACTTGCTCAATTATGCTCATATCAGCTTCATTCATAATCGTCAGAAACTAGAAACAACCTAGATGCCCCTCAACTGAAGAATGGTTAAAGAAAATGTGCTAAATTTACACAGTGGAGTATTACTGAGCTATTAAAAACTGACATCATGAAATTTTCAGGCAAATGAATGGAACTAGAAAAGATCATCCTGAGCAAGGAACCACACCTAGCAAGATAAACATGAAATGTTCTCACTCATAAGTAGATAATAGTAATAACATTCAAGATAATCATACTGTAGACCACAGACCCAAAGAAGCTAGGTAATAAAACAGGCCTAAGGGGGGCACTTGAATCTCAGTTAGAAATGGAAATAGACTAGACATTGGGGGGTAGATGGAGGAAAGGCACTGGAGGGGAGGGATGGGAACAAGAGAAATGAGGTTAGGGGAAGACATGGAGAGAGTACTGGGAGAGACAACTAGATTTGATGAGCTAGAAACTTAGGAATTTGGAAACTCCCAGGAATCTTTGAGGATGTCCATAGCTAAGATTCCAACAATATGGGATATGGAGCCTGAACTAGCCATCTCCTGTAACCAGGCAAGATGTCCAATGGAGGTTTTGGGATACCCACCCAACAACAAAACCTTAGGCCCACAATTTGTCCTGACTACAAAGTGTGCTGGTGTAAAAGATGGAGCAGGATTTGAGGAATGGACCATAATGACTGACTGACTGGCCCTCCTTGAGAACCATGCCATGAGAGGAAGCCCACCCCGACTCTCAAAGATATTCTGTTATACTTGCAAACAGGAGCCTAACATAAGTATCCTCAGAGAGGCTTCTTCTAGCAACTGATGAAAATTCATACAGAGACTCATAGCCAAACATTAAGTTAAGCTTGGGGGATCCTCTACAAGAGTGAGGGAAGAATTAAAGGAACCAGAGGGGTCAAGGATACTACAAGTAAAGCTACAGACTAACCTGGGCCTGTTAAGGCTCATAGAGACTGAACCAAAGAGCATACACAGGATAGACCTAGGCCTTCTGCATATTTGTAACAGTTGTGCAGCTTGGCCTTCAGTGGGATCCCTAAAAGGAGAACCGGGGCTGTCTCTGACTACATTACCTGCCTTTAGATCCCTGTTCCTTAACCAGGCTGCTTCATCTAGTCTCAACAGAAGAAGATGCACCTAGGCTTATACAACTTGGTATGCCAAGTCTGGTTGATATTTATGGGGCAAAACCCCTTTCCTAAAGAGAAGGGGAAGAATGGGGAGGGGGAGAGAAGGAGAGAGGAGGGAATTGGGAAGAGAGGAGGGAGAGCTGTAATCAGGATATAAAATAAATAAAATCTTAATTTATAAAAATATAAAAAGAGTATGTAAAATAAAAAGACATGGATAGAAATGGACACTTTGTATAGAGATATATTTGTCTTCTTGTAATGACATACTGGGGCAGAACCAACAATACCATGTGCCACTATATAAAAATAATGGAATTATTACAAATAAAAAAGAATAAGATTAATTTCTGCTATAAATGAAGGAAAAAATCCTTTAGAATGACCCTAGGTCTGTTTGAAAGCTAAAGTTTCTTGTGAATCTTGGTATAACTTATGTGGCATACAGATGGTCTCTGGCAACAATTCCTTATTCCAAATTACCGGCCATTGAGTAGATGTGCATGTCTGTCCCCTTACCCATCAACATGCTTTAGTGTGACCTTTACACTAGTTAATGTTTAATAAGGCACAGGCATGGTACAGTTCAACAGCACCAGCATTTGATACTTTTTCCAATTAACGTTGCTGTACTTGTTTTCATTCAAGTAACTGAGTTTGAAATTTAAATTATAAATAAATTTCCTACACTATTTTAATCCATGAATATAGTTTTGATTTGGGGAATATTTATTTTATTTCAGGTGATTATGTTGTAATGACTATCTATTTTGAACTGAGTAGAAGAATGGGATACTTCACTATCCAGACATATATCCCCTGCATACTGACTGTGGTTCTGTCCTGGGTATCCTTTTGGATCAAAAAAGATGCAACACCAGCAAGAACAACATTAGGTAAGTTGTAAAAATAAATATGATCATCCACTATTTTGTAATTTTAATACCGAAACATTCACAAAATGTCTTCAATTGATGAGAATTCAAATGGAATTGGTTTTAAGAGCTATGTAAACCAGGCTAATTTTTTTAGTATCCAGGTTAGGTTTTTGTTTTTTCTCTCTTCCTTTTTTAAAGTAAGCTTTGTTTTGTAGTAGTATGTATAGAAGCACAAGTAGCTTTCTTCCAAGGAGGTTTCAAATATTTAACTTTTATAAAATTTACTTCTTAAACTGTCTAAACTATTAAAATGCTCATTACTGCTTGACTATTCGAGAATGAGTTGTTTCTTACAATGGGCTCCATATAACAAACAGGATCTGGTGCATTAGCTAAAGAGCCAAGGACCATAGTGAACAGAAACACCCATCCCAACCAAGTTAAGTTTATTCTAGGCTTATGTCATGGTGGGGTGGGGAGGTTAATGCCTGCTATGTAGCTCTTCTAATCATCACAGTTTGCCTAGTCATAAGAACCCTTGACTGCAATGATAATGGTGTTGTATGATAGAAGGCATCCTCAGCATCCTCTAAGGATATATTTCTCTAAGCAGTCACTAAGTAACATCAGTGGATTGTTGACTTACTTTGGTCACAGTCAGTTTGAAGTCTTAGTGTACATGCTTTCAACTAATCCTCCTTCCTCTCTCTGATACAGACTCCCAAACTCACTTTCACACTGACCTTGGTGCTACCATAAATACTGAAGCCTGCACCAGGCCTCAGATATACTATGTTTCATTGTTCTTTGAAGGTTTTGAAAATGTAGATGACAAGCAAGAGCAAGAGTTTCATACCATGATCAAGGAGCTCTCTGGCTAAAAGTGTATCAAAAGCCAGCACGAGCATCTTCCATTCCTATTTGCAAAATGTCCCAGTTTGAAATGACAGGATAAAAGTGTTTATATCTTCTTAGGACATTCTTTTTTTTTTGAGAATCTGCTACATGACAAATTCTGTTATGGTCTAATTTATGACTTGAAAACATAAAATTTACTAATTTCAAAGATCCTGCTAGAGGAGGAGTCTGATGTCATACTCTATTTGGTTTTTTAATACTCTAGAACATATACTTCCCTCATTTATATTTATCTATATGTGGCATGTATAAAAATCATCTTAAATAGATTATTAATAGTTTTTGAAGTGACAGTAAAACTTGATATTGCCCAAATTCAACAATAAAACCTTATAGGTAGATGATAGACAGATATAATTGTATAGACACACACATACACGCATATGCATGCGCTCACATACACACACACACATATGTATGTATGTAATTGTAACTTTTAAACACCAAAACTGCCCACATTTCTTCTATATTATTTTGAAGGACCAAGAGGCATTTTTATGGTAAATAACAACCAGCATTTGTTTTTAAATGTTTCTAAGGCACCCACAAAAATTACCATCATGTAAATGGTAAATATTGCAAAATTTGTATTAGTAATGGAGTATTAATGACTAAAAGCTAAATAAGGTTTTATGAGTATGTTAAATAAATAATGTGAAATACCAAAATCCCAGAGAAGACCACACCAGCTTCTGGTAGAACACAGATTGCCATAGTGCACCTAAGCAGATCAGCTTTGATTAAGATACAGGTTTGACCAAAATTCTTTTATTCCCAACAATCTGTGGCCAGTTTTGCCTTTTTTCACTGAAGAGAAGTTTTGTTTTGGCAAGTTCCTAGAAGCGCCTACATTTTCAAAATGATATATTTTATTTGAATTACTTATGGCACATGTTTCTATCTGAGTGTAGATATGTACAGGTGCACCAAGAGTCTAAAAAAGGACATCAGATCCACTTGTCCTACAAGAGAAAGACCCTACCTCATAAAGGAAAAGCATGGCCTCTGATATGTGGCTCATCTCTTATGTGAAAGAATGAAGACCAGGGCATTGTTAGCCTTTAAATGTTGAAATTAGAAAGCCTCCCCATTCAAACCCATAGAAAATACACTTACAAAATCTTGATCTAATAAAAGTACTTTGAATGAAACAAAAGCTGAAAAACTTATTCCAGAACACCTGTATCTACAAGGAAAAAACACTCAGGTTAATTAGACTAATAAAAACAGATACAAAATTGACTCTTTAAGAAAAAATAGAAATCAGTAAAAAATAGTAGAAGTCTGATATAATTAGTACTAAAAACTGGCTCCTGGGCCAAGCCTGGAAAAATAGACCTGAAATTCTCACAATACCAGGAGGATCATACGGTCAAAGCTAATCTAGGTTACATATGAGTTCTGGATAAATCTAAGCAATTTAGTGAGAAGGTAAGAGCTTACATCCTGATTCATAACCATAAGGCAGAGACAGCTAACTGGGAATGGCATGGGCTTTTGAAACCTCAAAGCCTGCCTCTAGTGACAAATATCTTCTAAAAGGGTCACACCTCCTAACCTTTCCCAAACAGTTCCACCAACTGGGAGCCAAGTATTCAAACGTATGAGCTATTGAGGTCATTCAAACCATCATGAGCAGTGTGTACAAATAAAAACATAAAACACATCAAAAGTATAGAGCCCATACATACACCCACACACATGTGTACATGCACACACACACACACACACACACATATACATATATATATACATACATACATACATAATACATACATACATACATACATACATACATACGCATAAGTATATATGTGTGTGTGTATCATATATACAGATAACAGTGCTCTCCATGTGCTATGGTTTAAATCTGAAAGGTTGCCTTATATATCATGTATTTGGAGGTCTGGTGCGTCTATCACAGAACCTTTAGGAGGAGAGGTCTGACTGTGAGAAGTAGATTAATTACCTTTCCAGCCTTGTTCTCTGCTTCATTGTTCAGTCTCCATGTAAGCAACTCTACCCCTTGATTCTTGTGGCTCCATTGTGAAAGGTCATCCCTGCTTCTTTGTTTGAACACTAGTTTTCAGATGGCAGTGCTATTTGGGGAAGTTTGCATACTTTTGAACACGAATTCTAGATAGGGCAGATGTTTGAGAGGCAAGTTTACCTCAGCCTACCATCTTCTCTGAGCTTCCTGGTTACTCATCTTCTAAAGTATGAGCAGACCACGTAGTAAGTTCCCACCTCTGTGAGCCTAACCCTGGCTGCCATACCATCTCTGCCATGATGTATTAATACTGTCTATACTCTGGACCAAAATAGATCTTTCTTCCCCTAAGTTGTGTGTGCCAGAGTTTTAGTTAGTAAAAAGAAAGGAACTAATGAGATATGTCTTTACTTGATAATAGAAAATCATCAGCTAGTAAATCTGGCACAGATTCTCCATATACAAAAAAATAGTTTCACACACAACACATTTAGTAAAGTCAACACTGTACAATTTCTAGAAGAAAATGTATGAATCTAATATTGGATGACATAAAAAAATCTCAAACACTGATAGTTTTAATGAAGAAAACAGGAATATTTGTGACATAAAATATATTTGAATACATATGTACTTCATGTTTTGAACAATATATACCATGATGAAGATTTGCTAGTTATGTATAAGAATGATATCTTCTCCAGTGTAAATCCTTTCCATTTAGCTTTGGTGAAACTATACGGGACTTTTGATTGTACATAAGAGTCTTTGTAATAATGATTTCTGGCAAAACATGTTATAATTATCACTTCTAATCACAGAAGCTAAATCCCCAAATATCAAAAAATATAGATGATACCAGAAAATGTGCCAGTTTTTGGGTGGCACAGATGTTATGTTAGCATGATCTGAACAGGTTTCTGATATATCAGCAAGAGTGTGCCTTGATGAGAAGAATACTTGCGGTAAATGAAAAGAGGAACTCGGCTCAGCAAGGCAACACCAGTGCAGTGGAGAACCAAATATACTTGTAGGACAGGAAATACTGTACTAAAAGAGACAATTCACAAAGCGTGCTGGGGGAAAGATATGTGGGCCTCAGTGTAAAGCAAAAGCAGTTTGAGCCACAAGGAGAAAAAATAGGCTGACAATATATGAGCACACTGAACTCAGTGTTTGTGAGCTGCCAAGGGATAAAATCTAATATTTCTGTTATAGATGTCCCAGAAGAAGCCAATAAGGCTGAAAATATACATTTCCAAGGCATGAAAATGATACGTAAATATTTCTCCAATTTTTCAAAAATGTGCATATTCATGATGCTAAATAAATTCAAATCAAGAGATAAATCCAAAGAATTTCAAGCTAAGGCAAATTACAATCAAACTCAAAAATAGAAAAATCCTTGAAAGTGGTAGAGAAAAAAGTCATGATGCTGCCTATAAGGCATCACAGGCTGAATGGCAGTGGGTTATCACTGAAGCTGTGGAGGCCAGAAGGAAATAGACTCTGAATTCTGCAGGCATTGAGAATCTAATATAGCCTGACAATCCTTATCTGTTTAAAGAAAATGTTCAGTAAAACTATATTATAACCATAGAAAAGTAAAGAAAAATAATGTATTTACATTTTATTGAAAGGGGGATAAATTCTGTGTACTCACTGGTTGGAGGGCCATTGATATGCTTTTCAGGGTGATGTGCACTCAGGGACATCATAGAGACTTCAGGCGCCAAAACATGACCTTAAAGATGTGGAAAAAAAAAAGCCTCAAGGAGTTTTACAAGAGGTTGAAGTAACTCATGGAACAGCAGGAAGGGAAATTAGACACAAGAAAATAAACTGAACAAATAGACAAAATGAAACATGATGATGTGTTCTAAATATTAATAACTGTGTGATGTAAAACACCAGAATACCACAACTACAACTGATAAATTAGAGTGGAAAATGTGAAAACTGGTCCATGAGTGTTTTAAGAGAAGGCATTTCAGAAAGAGTGATGCTGGGGCTGGGTAGAGAAACCAGGAGTTTACACTGTGAGCAGGAAAAAAACATGAAATAGAAGACAAGCATGGAATGCAAAACAGCATAGGACATACAGAAAAGTGATAGGCTGTAACTTCATCTAAAACCATTTCAAAGGTGAAATGCCAAACAATTAATTACTAAAATCTATTAAAATATATCAATCTGTTATATGTGTTCCTTGATATAGGATGCTATTATTTTCCCGCAAGCCATCATTTTATTTACATATCATTTTCATGCCTTGGAAATGTATATTTTCAGCCTTATTGCAATTTGGAAACGTGCTAGCTGTGCCTTACCTCCTGACCTTCAACTCACCTTATACACTGTGATATTAGTTGCTCCTTTCCTGACCAAGCTGACTGCAGGCTTCTCTACCACTGCCAAGTGTTTAGGGGCAACTGACATATATCACCTGCCTGAGACGACAGAGTCAAAATCAAAATCTACTTGTTACTAAATTTTCATGACTTTTGGCCTATCAGTCTTGACCTCTTGACAACCAGATGACAGCTGTCTCTTCTGCAGGCATCACCACGGTGCTAACCATGACCACTCTCAGCACCATTGCCAGGAAGTCCCTGCCTCGTGTGTCCTATGTCACTGCCATGGACCTCTTCGTGACTGTGTGCTTCTTATTTGTCTTTGCCGCACTGATGGAGTATGCTACCCTCAACTACTACTCAAGCTGTCGAAAGCCAACCGTCAGGAAGAAGAAGACATCGGTGAGTGTCAAAGATAGCCAAGGTTCGCTCAGTTGCAGCAGGAGGGTAGTTTAAGGTAAACGTGCTCTCAAATGCTGTAGTTCCCTTAAGGATCTTAGAAAGTGAGATAATCCAGTAGATGGAGGAACAAGATAGGGATACCTCCCATTTCTCTATGGTCAATGCCTGCTGGTTACAGGGCTAACAGTGCCCATGCATTCAAGACTGCAAACTTCCATGGTCTCTTTCTTATTCTGCTTTCTTTTTTTCTACAGTTATTACATCCAGACTCCACAAGATGGATTCCTGATCGAATAAGTCTTCAAGCACCCTCTGTATGTATAGCTTTACAGGTGCCACTACTTCTTAGAACTTTAAGTTTACATTGAAAGATATGGTCTTCATAAATGTGTACATTGAATTCAAATGACTACTGCATTTGATCCTTTAAAATGTATTTTTTACTAAAACAGCCAAATTAGAATAAGCACAAAGTGAGAGGAACATCCTAACCTTTCTACATGGGGACCTTCATGTAGAATGCATGCTTCTGGCTAGACTATAGATTTACAAGTTCTATGTATTCATGCATACTAAGAAACTAAATGATATTTGCTGAGGTACCTCTCTAGCCCAAATGTCTATTAATATTTTAGTTAGCAATCTGCCAGGTTAATTGTTATGTATGTCACATTTTAAAGACCAACTGAATTGTCCATAGTTACATAGCAATTATATTGAGGACATTAGCCTGCAGTTTGTAGTGTGATGTTTATTCTGGCTTCAGTGTCATTTCATGCTCTACCAAGCTACCAGCCACAACATGTTCCTCCTTCCCCTACAAATAGCATTCCTCTCTCAATTTCTTCTGAGTATTTTGAGACAATATGTGTCTATATATCAGCTCACGTTTGCTCACAACAAGTAAAATTTAATATGGAGAAATCAACCTCTATAGATGCTAGTAAGAAGGAAACTGGAATGAAAACATAGAAATTTCATTTTAAACCATTGATCTGGCTACCATTGTTTTCATTTGCCATCTTTATGTGGAACTATGACTTTTATCCTTGACTTGTGTCCACACACTAATTCCAGTAAATGTTTCATGTCACCTGTATATGACAGATTGCTTCTAAGCTCTTAATGAATGATGCTTTATATTTTGTGCATCTCAAACAGTTTTTAGGAGGAAAATATATGTGTTACTCTTCAAATGTGTATCATGGGGCTTTCACAGGAGAGTTATGGGCAAGCAGCTTGCCAGCCCTGAGAAACCAGAAAATGCTTCCAATGAGTGTTAGACAAGGCCATAGAGAAGGGAGGCTCAGAGTGACAGACACCAATTTGAGTTAATAGCCCAAAGCTCCAAGAGTATCTCTTCACACATAGCCAGGAACCTGAATATTGAGGGAAAATATTGATGTCTTTGGTGTAGAAATTATTCTACCAAAAGAAAAGGCAGGATCCTTTAGCTCAAAGAAAAAAAGAAGTCTTTCACCCAAAGAAAATCATGGAGTAAAAGGAAAGGTTGATGACCTAGAAGAAATTATGAAGTCAATTCACAAAAAAAGGGTGCCACTGCAGGTAAGAAGACACAACTAAGGCTCATACAGCCTACGAGGAAGGAGTGGAAAAAGCATTTAACTATTAAGTAGAATTTTCAGCATTTCAACTCTTATTTTATTTCATTCCCAGAAAAATTGAAACCTAAATGATAAGTCTCTAGAGGGATAAAGACAGAGCTCAGAACGTATGTGTGGTTGGAGAAAGATGCTCACACAGCCTTGTGTGTCAGTTCTTTACCTAAAATGCAAGGATAATGCTCTTCACAGGCATCTGAAAAGCAGTGGTCCATGGAGGATGTGGGGCTGTGTCATACACATGATGAAAGATGGAGTTGGACACTCACTGGGCCGAGGAAGAAGCATTCATTAAATCTCTTTTAGGCAGAGTTTGAAATACTTAAAACAATGGAGCAGTTACATAGAGAAAAGTGCTACATGGCATATAATACAGCCATGGAGGCCTTGTCACATCCTAACTTCTAGTTCAGTCTTATGAAATGGAATTCATTTCAAATTCCCAAGCTACCAAATCCTGGAGCTCTCCTGATTATTGCACAGAGTTTCTACTTGGTTTCATCAGCCTAGTGCTTCACTTACCTAAGTTATTACAAGAAATTGAGATTTCTTGTGTCCCAAGAACCTCTCCTGCTGCTTTTCCTGCAACCTCTGAAGTCACCATCTCTAGTGATTTGTCTCTATCAATTTGTCTGGATCAGTGTCTTCCTTCAAAGCCCACTGTCTCCTCTACCCACAGTCCACATTCATACTATCCCGAGGAACTGCATAGTTCACAGGGTTGAAGAACTGAGTGGGTGAAATGTCTGGCTTTAAAATGCCAAAGCACACATGAAAGAAAGTCTTTAGTAGAGTTATTGTCTACTAAAGATATATTTTTACCAAATGGAACTTGTCAGAAAGGCATACATTCTCAAATGCACTGGATAATTATGGTTTTGATACACACTTGAGCTTCAGAATCATATGGCTAGAGGGTACACATCCTCAACAGAGCTGAACATAACCAGTCTTCCACCTCTGCTTATGCCTCAGAGCTGTAGAAGATGCTACACAGAGGTGCTCTGAAAGTTTCCAGTGAACACTGATGCAAGGCTTTCTGATTATGACTGGACTTTTCCCAACATACATGTACACACATGCTTCCCATGTTCAAGGCTACAGAAGGCTTCATGGAGTAGGTTTGAATAATCAACAGTTTTGTCAGTTTGTCTCCAGTTACAATGCTGCATAGGCATGAAACTTGCCATCTTAATTAAATTCTAAACTTTACTTAAGGTAAATGTGACAGTGTCCCTGTAAGGAACATTTATATGGACTCTGACAAAACTGAGTACATTCTATGTGGCATGACCCAGGCTCTTAACAATACAGAGTGACCTCATTCTCAGCACATGCCAACCATGGCCACAGGAATCACCTACTCAACATGTTCAGAAATATGCTTCTAGAGCTGGGCACAGTGGTACAGGCCTGTGGTCTGAGGAGACTAAGACAGGAAAGCCAGCCTGAGATACACAATAATTTCCAGACCTGGCTAGTCACTGTCGTCTTCTCCGTCGTCGTCTTCTTCTTCTTCTTCTTCTTCTTCCTCTTCTTCTTCTTCTTCTTCTTCTTCTTCTTCTTCTTCTTCTTCTTCCTCTTCCTCTTCCTCTTCCTCTTCCTCTTCCTCTTCTCCTCATCCTCTTCCTCCTCCTTTTCTTCCTTCTCCTCCTCTTCTTCCTTCTCCTCCTTCTCCTTCTTCTTTTTTTTTGAGATTATAATAATTTACCCTTCCCCATCTCCTTCCAAGTTCTCCCATATATCCCTTCTTTTTCTTTTCAAATTCATGGTCTTTTTTTTTCATTAGTTGTTGTTATATGTAGGTATGTATGTATGTATGTATGTATGTATGTATGTATGTATGTAAATATATATATACACATACATACACACATACACACACACACACACACACACACACACACACACACACACACACACATATATATATATATATATATATATATATATATATATATATTCCCGACTATAACATGCTCACTCTGTATAATGCTACTTCTTTTATGTATGTTTCAGGGCTAACCATTTGTATTGGATAACCAATTGGTGTGCTCTTCCCTTGAGAAAACAATTTCTCCCACTCTCAACATGTCTTAGTGGTTCTTAAGGTTGAGACCTCATAGACTTTTTACCATTCATTTTGGCATATCTATTGGTGTTGGTCTGTTCAGCTCATGGCAGTCATGTTGGTGAGACCTTGTTGGTACAGATTCTGTGATTACTAGGAGATAAAACTCACAACAAGCTCCTTGATTATCTGGCTCTTACATTTTTCCTGCCCCCTCTTTCACAACAATCCCTGAGCCTTAAATTCAGGGATATAGATACACTTTAGGTTATGTGACTGCATTTTGATTGGTTGTGGTTTTCTATACTGATCCATGTGTTACAAAGAGAAGTCCTCTTGATGAGAGGTGGGAGCTATACTTACATGTGGGCAAGAAGAACAAATGTTTAGAATATTGTTAGTGATTATGTTGTTTTAGTAAACTGGTGGTTGTAGGTCATCTACCAAGATCCATGAATTTACTAGCCTTGTGTAATTGGCTAGGCTTCCAATACCAAACATGGTTTCTCTCTTGTTGAACAGACCTTAAGTCCACCAAAATGTGACACTACTGTTTCATGCTATGCTGTTCATATTTGTGGTTCATAGGCATTGAAACTAGGTAGAATTGTTGGATGCTTTCCTCTTTCAGAAGCTCAACTGGCATCTTCTGGTCCCATGAAACCTTGTTGTCATGGAGGAGGCTTTCAGGCTAGTTCTAGCTCAGGAACTTCTGTGCCTTGTGTCTGAAGTACATTGTAACTTCAGTAGTAGGGACTTACTTTCCACCCCTGGTGAGTAACAAAATCCAACAGTTATAGGCTGAATGTTTGATAGCCAACAACCCTTGTCAAAAAGTCAAAAGAAGGCTTCTCATGTCTGATATTAGGGGGCTAGTCCATTTTCAATAAGAGCCTTTCTCAAAAACAAAAATGAAAACCACTAAATTGTATCAGACAGGTAAGTCTTTCTAGTTGCTTCCCACTATGTAGTCAGACTAAACAATGCTTTTCCCCAATGGAACTCAGTGTAGAGTATGTGTAATAGCTCTTGAGGGGTTGACAGCTGTCTGACAAACCTAAGGGATTCACTGGAAACTTCTCAAGCTGGATGGTTCTGCCCAGTCCTGGAAAAACAAAAAACAAAAAACAAAGCAACAACAAAAAAAGCAGCAAGTCTTTAACTTTCCCTTTTTCTCCTACACTGACTTTTCCAAGACAGGAGGAGAGCCTGGGAGTAGATAGTATTCAAGCTACACGTGTTCAAGCTTTCTTCCTGGACTAATAGCAGTGCTTTCTCTCCATTTCAGTACATAACACGTACTACTGTTTGCTAGTCTTAATAGGTACCACATTTATCTTCCCATGTTATAACATCCATGTGGTTTAACATTTAAGGAACAAATCGATTATGTGTACATATTTGCTAATGGGTAACAGATTGAAACTTGAAGTGGCTAATACAATTTGAAAATGTATTTCCCTCCCTCCCCAAAAATCTGGGACACATTTTAAAATAGCAATATGTTTTTCTTTGCTCACTAAGCTGCAATGGTTCAATGAAAAGGTTGTGCCCAGTAATGGGTTAAGTTTGATGTGGGTGTGGCCTGCATCCATCTTGTCTAGTAGCAGACAGAAGTAGTATCTGTTGTTCAGTTCAAGTCATACTGTTCTTACTCACATTTTATGATTGCTCTGCTATTCTTGTGCCTGCAGAATTATTCTCTCCTGGATATGAGGCCCCCACCACCTGTGATGATCACGTTAAACAATTCCATGTACTGGCAGGAGTTTGAGGACACCTGTGTCTATGAGTGTCTGGATGGCAAAGACTGCCAGAGCTTCTTCTGCTGCTATGAGGAGTGCAAGTCTGGCTCCTGGAGAAGAGGCCGCATCCACATTGATGTCTCTGAGCTGGACTCCTACTCTAGGGTCTTCTTCCCGACATCCTTCCTGCTGTTCAACCTGGTCTATTGGGTTGGATACCTATATCTTTAAGTGCTGCTCTGAAGGATGACTGAAGAGTACTTGATTCATATTTTTCCTTCCACCATCCCCAGACAAGTAGTAACCAACCAAAAAGTCGCAGGGAAGGACACTATTCCAGTTTGTTGTGTTACCTTTCAGCAGCATGGGAAGTACCTGGAAAGTATTCCTTATAAATATTTCACTAATACACACTCACGTGTGTGCACGTGCACACAGACACACAGACACACACACACACACACAGAACAATTGCATTTTCAAGTGATATTCTTGCTAATCCCTTCTTCAACTGGTTGTTTGATATTTAGGAATGGCCTTGGATACAGAAGCTGCCAGTTACCAAGCAACGACACCTGTAAAAGATGCAAACAAATATCCAGGGGTTGTCTCAGAACCTCCCTATTATGTATCTTCCCTTTGTGTCCCTTGGCACCCATGGCTGTGTATACAGGGCCTACCTTAGTGGAGATACACTCATGATGGATGACCTCTCTCTGAGATCCAGCTTGAACTGCAGTCAGCTTTGGTCCCTTCTGTAAGGCCTGTTTGCTCAGACACTGCTGTCCTAAGGTAGCCTCTCTCTAACTGGCACCCTTCCTTCCTACCTGGGAGGTGCTCCTGTGTATCTGCCACAAGTTTCCATTTGTGGGGAAAACGTGTGATTTTAAAACTTTGTTTCTGACACCAAGACTGCTGTTTGTCTCTAACTCTCACAAAGTCGTGACTTTATTACAGACTGCCAAGCAGCAGTCCTATTTGTACCCTGGGTTTCTGGACTAGTTGCATTTGAGTTCAGCATTTCTCAAAGAGCTTGGATTTATAAGACCAAGTCTCAGTCTCAGACGATGAGGGTAGCTTACATTATTGTTAGGGATTTGGTAACTGTCTTCATCCTGCAAAGACTTGCAATGTGGATAGGCCTTTGTTTTGAAACTGCATTCCACAGTGTAAAATAACATACACCTTCATGTATTTAATCATGAACATTAACTTTCAAGCCAAACCAACCTTAGATGCAAAAAAAAAAAATGGGTGATGGTTATTGTCAATTACACATTTTGATGAGCAAAAATTGTTTTATACTTTGAAATATGGATGCATAGCAAAATCCCAAAGAAATCCCCCCAAATCAATTCTCTTTTGATATTTTTATAATGCAAAACAAATTTGCTTCTACATATTAGTTCTTTGCTATGACCAGATGCTCTTGTGCACTCCAGGTCCAGGACTCTTTTGAAGTATCCTCTATTGGTGACACGCACACATTTCCACTCATCAGCAGTGTCTTGGCACTATTACAGCGTCCACAGTAGAATCCTTGTGTGCTTTGCTCCGACAAAGCTAAACTAATTTTATTGAAAGTCATTTATTTTTCCATTTCTATTACACATACTATATGACTACTTAGAAAAAGTAAAACATCAGACAAATAGAAAATATCAAAGTGCTGACTACATATAATTTATTAGATGTATTTCAGAAACAATGGTGGTATTGAAGAGACCGGGAAAACTGAAACTAGACACTTTTGCTAATTCTTTCTAGTACTGTTTGTTCATGAAGAGGATGTTCAAATGGGCACAACTCTCAGTTGTAACGGTAATAATGGCTGTCTATGTGTGTGTGATATTCAGTCTTTTCTTTCCGAGTTTCTACTAACAAACTACTAGTTTGATAGTACATAAGGCTCAAGCCAATTGGATTTTAGTTAAAAAATTCAACTTAAAAGAATTAAAAGAATAAATACCCATAAAGAATAAGCTGAAGATAATGGCTTAAATGCAATGTCTCCTCTGTTGGGAAGTTTTGCATCTAGTGCACCAGTGTCTCTGAAGCAGACCCACAGTGTCTTTGGCGGGCCCACTCTGGGGGTGCCCACAGCACTAAGATAAAGAGCAAGCCACATGTACAACAATTTCAAACACTATCAGTTCAGAGTTTCTAATCAGATAAAGAATTTTAACCTGTTACATTTTAAAAGTTCTGGGTAAAACTAAATTTTCTAGTCATCTGTTTTTCCCCGAGGATTAAAACCTGCAAGCATCTGCTGTAGGGCTGGACTCTCTGCTACCTTAGAAAAACCCCACAGTTGCCTCTTGTCTCAAAACTTGTCATTGTCATTGTCCCTTGCCCAATTCAGCCATGCTGATCAAAACATAGAAAGAGCCAACACACATGTAAGGAGTACGCCAATGCCTGTTTCTCAGTACAGTTCAATCGTCTATGTCAGTCTGAACTTCCAGAATAAACCATTCTAGTACATGAAACAGGAGAGATTCCTGCCCGTTGCTCAGGGGCAAAACCAGAGGCTTTACAAGGTGAACTTTGAGGAGAGTCTGGTACAATGGGAGGAAAAGGGAGAAATGCTCCCCTCCTTAGACACCAGCTCCCCTTAATTAAGAGGGACATGGGTGGGGCACACAAATTCAAGCTTCCTTTCATCTGCCATATTCTGCTCTGTTTCCTTTGTGTGTAGAGATGGGATGCTTGGATAGTGGTCTAAACAACCTGCGTTTCAAAGGTGCTACTGTGTCCCTCACTCTTAGAAGCACTCCGGACTGAAGAGACTGTTTGAACAAAGATTCCAGATTCCCAAACACTGTGGATTATACTGAAAACTGTGACTGTCTTTCCTTTAAACTACATCCTGACTGATGGAGATAAACTAAGAAGATGTTTTACAAAGTAGTAGAATTAAAGCAAAATGCCTCTTCAAAGCCTATACAGCTTCCCTAGGGCATCCCACATGCTAGGTGGAGGACAGTGTTAATAAATTTACTCCAAGTCCAGCCAACACTGCCTCCAATTTGCCTAAAATATGCCTTAAGATAAAACATAAAGCCCCCAATTTTTCCATTTTCTGGAAGTTTCCACTTTCTTCAGTCACCAGTATTTCATACTAAAATTTACTGTTTTTAAAGTATACATGGATAAAAATAGGATTTCATTTCTTTATACAAAAACCAGGCATCTTCATGTTTTCATCAGATGAGATAAAATTGTAGACTTTCATGGACTCTTCAAACATGGAAATGCTTGTCCTTAATCACAAGCCATTTTCATGTTCTGTGTGAGAACCTGTGGGTTTATATCCACAGATCAGTACCATTCAAGACTGTTTTACCTGGTAATATGTTGCTGCAATAAAGGATGTTTCGAAGTGTGTTGTAGCCCTACACAATCCCATATCTTGAAACAGTGAAAGCAAGCCACCAAAATAGAATCCCATTTCACATCAATTTGTCTTAACACAGCTAGGAAGCAGAGGTCCACTCTATCCAAAGGGCTAGAAAACAGAGCAGATAACACCTCTGCCTCCTTGGTCATTTTTATCTCACATACCAAACTGATCATTTTATTTGAAACTTGGAGAATTGCAGCTGGTCCCTGGATGTTGCACTTCCTTTCTATCCCTTCAGTGCCCTGAAGGCATTACCCAATTTGAATTTGTTTATAGTTTGATAACTATTATTTAGCGTTTTTCTTTTTTATTTTAGAGTTACAAATCATGCAAATTTTCATTTTAAAAGTAGTAAAATGACTAGAGATAAACATAGTATATAAGTAAGCATACACTGAAATGTTGAATTCCATTTACACTGATAGATTATTTGTTTGGAAATTTAGAACACAATTATATGGAAAGGCTGGAAATACGAAGGCAAGAAAGAGAATGCTAACACAGAGCAAATGTCTTATTCACAGTTATCCCTGAGCTACCTTCAAAAAGCCTGTGATAACCATTGGGTCTAACCAGACCAGTATTCAATTCGTGTTCTCTACATAAGCATGACCCAAAGGCTGAATGCTAATGAAATGCTCAAGACAGACAGGCACATCTCTCATCCCGCTTCTATTGTGAACATGAATCAAAACATAACAGGGAGAGAAAATGAACTGTGTCTTAAGATGACAAGGTTACAGCTAACACAGTCACCTACCTAGAATAAGAATTTGTTTTGTTCTTTAAATATATTACAGTTTTTGAGCCTTGAAGTTGGGGTGTTTCAATTTCCCCCTTTTAAAATTTCTTCAGCTTATAAGATACTAATCCCATGATAAAAGCTTGATTTAATTCTGTTAAGGTTAAAAGAAAAAGATATTTCTGTTTGTTTGGTTCCAAAATATCTTTTAGTTGAGTGATGCTTTTGTTATAGTATTCCCTGTAAGACTTCTAAACTTCTTCATTACTTTTCCTAAAATAAAATCCTAGTCTTAAAACCAACTTACATAAATCAGTGTTAAACTCTGAGTTGAACTCTCATTGGTCATTAAAAAGTTTCCCATGCTTTGAGTTAACCAGGTTTTGTTAGATTATGTGAACTAGTAAATAAACACATTCACACACACACACACACACACACACACACACACCACTTCCAAAATAAGGAAAGTCTGATTTTTTTCATGTAATTGAGGCAAATGTAAACTGCTTTGCTTGACCTATTCAGTTAAGCATCTATTTTAAGCACTTCATTTTCCACATCTGTAAACATAGTACAAAGTTGTCCCAGCCCAGAAAACAGGTTTCACAGGGTGAGTCACTAGTAGTTACTGTGGGGAAGGAAGGTCTCTCTGTCTGCAAGGTAGTTTAAACTGAATGAGTAGGGAGGAACAATTGACTTTCAACAACAAAACCTCCCAAACTGAGGTGGTTCCTGCTTTGTTTTGTTCTCCTTTTTTTTTTCTAAATATTTAAAAAGATACTCTTTTGTATTCCTGCAAACAAGTCCAGTGTGTCTTCTGTATCCATGTATTCTGTATCTGTGATTTCAACCACCATCAAGAATGTCAATCACCTTTGTCTCTGTAACTAGCATGAGCAGGCATTTCCCCTTGTTGTTATTCCCTTAAATATAAGAGAGTAACAACAGAGGCAGACATAGACTTACAATATGTTAAGCAGTCTAAGCCATTCTGTGGTAGTTGACTGTATAGAGAAGAATGTGCATAGTGTCTACAAATATAATGCACCACTTTATTCAAAGGACTTGCACATCTAAGGGTTCTGTTATCCTGAGGGATCCTGGAACCAGGCCTCTGGAAATTTGGAAGAGTGACTGTAATGATCATATTTCCTATAACAGACTTAAATCCTGATGTCTCCTGGATGCCCTGCCCAC